CTGATGTAGACCCATGAAGGGTAAAATAGATACTATACCTTGACTTATGAGCAGATAAACACATGCTGCTTATTATTAGTGCAAATGATCAGGAAAAAAAACATTACCATGCAGAATCCAATAAATGACTGAATGTCACAACAGCATGCTAATTCTCCATGTGCCAGTGCTCTCGACTCATAATTGCAAACGGACAGATGGACAAGGGGAGGAAGGGAGACGAGTACAGTGAAGTCCTACAGCTCGGGCCCATTAATGGTCTTGATTTATGCTGCTCCTCATGCTGTGTTGGGACACCGTCAGCCGAGCCAGTGAGAGAGCTGATTTAGGGCTGCAGCAGGCCACGCTCTGATGTCTGTGTAAACACATATCAATGGCATGTTTAGGAAAGGTTCGCAGCCAGAGCAGCACCACAGAGTCTGAGGCTCAGAGTTCATCTGGAGTGGTAAAAATCTGGTCGCCCAAAGAAACATGACAGAAATTACCTCTTATTTAATCCCATTAACTTACAGTACCATGTGCAGAGAGATACAGGCATGCAGCTTCTTGTCAAAAGTATTGACACCCCTTAAACATTTGGACATTTCATCACTTTTATGTGATACTGTGAGAAATGATAGTCAATAACTGAGAAGTAGAAGGAAACAGATGTATTACTCTGGTGTAAAAAAAAAAGAAGCTTTTTTTGCTCAAGCAGGGGCTGCAAAAATGCAAAATATTGTCTGGTGAAAAAACAAAAAAATGAGTATCATCTTAAAAACATTATTCCTATAATGAAATTTGGGGGTGGCTGCAACATGTTTCTTATGCAGGAATTAAGGACAGCGGCTTGAAGAGGCAGGATGATCTCAACCCACTCTGGAAACAAGTTTTATGACTATAACATGACAAAATGTGACCAGTTATCATTATTACTGCTTTCAAAAGAGCTGCGATTGATTTTTCAGGCTTGAATGTCTAGACTTCCACCGTCTGGGTTTAAGTGGAACACAACATCGCTCCCATCTAGACTGAGATGTATATGCATATTTTAGATGTTTTTTTCCTTTGAGCTTAATATGGAATATTTATGGCAGGGGAGAATAGAAAGATCTTTAATGATGATGATCCTTTACATACTAACAGTCACATAAGTCAGCTTCATATCCTGGTAGTTCTTGTTGCTGCATTTTAAACTTGTTTTTCACAGTCTGGAGGCCACAACGAGCCCATCAATGTCCAATTATATTCCTGATGGTACGGAAGACGGGGAAAAGCTGATTAAGGGGACAGAAGTGATGAGGAGGATTGTTTGAAAGAAGATGTGCAATATGTGCATAATGACTTCCACTGACAATTATCTTTGATCCAACGTGAAATACACCCTCTTCGCCCCCAGTCTCGCATTATCCACCACTCTACCCTCCACTCCTCCACTCCTCGAGCCCCTCTTTTAATCTTTCCACGTACGTCTTTAAATGCCTTCTCTAAAACAGCTCAAGTGACTTCAGGAATGACAAATATATTACAGTTCCTCCAGTCGGCTCCTCCCTTTGCTCGCTGTGTGAGCAGATACAGAGCGACTGTGTAATGAGGCTCACTCTCTCAGGGTCAGCGACCTCACTGGGGCTCGGATAAGGAGGGGCCAGGGTACAGAGAAAGCTAGAAACAGGAGAGGATGCTGGGATGAAAGAAGAGGGGCTTTTTCTAGTTTTTATACATTTTTTTTCATTTCTTCCCTTTATTTGTCATCTTCTCTGTGCTCCTTGTCAGCAGCTAGTGTGCTGCTTGGGCACAAGGGAGTAAAACGGGAGGTAGCAGAGAGAGAAAATGTTTAAGTGCCGATGGCAGCCCCTGGTTGCTGCTGGGACAGAGGTGTCAGCTCTGATTCTCCCACAGCTTTTGTGTGACAGGCACATGATAGGGAAAAAGATGTGTGTGTGTGTGGGAGGGGGGGTTTTCTGTCTAACTGTTTGTAAAGACAGAACAAGAGCCTCAATAAGTAGAGGAACTGGTGAGGCTAGTCTACATCTTTCAGCTGCCTCCTCCTTCCTCTTCACTTCCTTTTTACTCTCCCCTCCTCTCTCCTGTTTCCTCCTGCTTGGTGTGTTGATGGATTAAGTTATACAGCTCCCTTAGTGACAGGCATTCCCTCACGTTTCCACGGCAGAGAGGTCAAAGGGGGCACTCATTATTGGCTTTTGTCTGCAATCATCACAGGTTGCGCGGTGTTTTTATTGGCCCCCGTCCTCCTCCTTCTTTTTCTCTTGACCTCTCCAATCGTACTCTGTGCAGCAGAGCGTGACCCCCAGGGGCTGAAAGGTCGCAATTGTCTCGACCTGGAGGTCACAGGAGTTTACACGAGTGATGGTAGATTTGTATATGTTGGGAAGGATAATGTAATGGAAAGAAAAAGGAATATCTGATAGGAAGAGACTAAAAAGAGGCTCAATACTCAGACAGTTCAGCCTTGAACTTTTACTCTCTTCCTGCCCTCAACCCGCAGTCGTCTTTGCTGTTCCTTATGTGTTCTTCATCTCTTCGCTCCTGTCTGTGCTGGCTGTCAGTTTGTGGTCGGCAGATGTTTCACAACTGTTTTCTCTGTTGTTCATCAGTCTTAGTGAAAACCCTGCTTTGGCTGTCTGCTCAGCTTCTTTGGGCATATCTCCATGCAGCCTGCACTGTGCAAAAGTTTCACTCCCCATCTATTTCCTTTTTTGCTTCTTAGGAAATAGATTTCTGGGAAACAAACTAAAGTGGTTTTGATCAATAATAATAGTAAGGAAACATGTAATTTCTCTGTTTAATGCGTATTTATTTTTTTCTTTTGACAATGCCTTGTACCTACTGGGTCATGACAGAACTTTTTTGCAATGTAAAAAAAAGTGATGGAGTTTGAGAGCCTTTGTTCATTTATGTGAAAAAAATTTGTAAGACCCCATTACAAATTTTGTTCTCTTTAAATATGTTACATCTAAATGTATTTTTTGCTTCTGGATATTAAATCTGCAAGTAACCACCTTCAGCTTCTGCTCTCAAACCTCTACCCAACCTGACACTCGGAATTGCAGCTAGATCTGGCCAAATGGGTGTAGACCAATTTCTGTAGAAATACCTGATTTAAAATGTTTTGGGACCTCTTAGTCTATTTCCAAACTCATCATTTTAGCTCTATCTGAAGGTCCCACACAGGTCTTCAAATCTTAACTTAATCCTTACTGTCAGGAGCACACTGAACCAAATTCCTTGGGTTTGCTTCAAAATATTCATTTAATAGCGATGTTCTAATTATTTGCAGCGGATACGATACCCGAGGGCATGATTTCAGACATTTCAAGTAGCAATAAATGTAAGAGTGTCTTATTTTATTCATCACCAGTTATAAGAACGTTCTTTAACAGCTTAACTGACATTTTGTTTAAAAAAAAAAAACTTTACTTTATATTCTTATTCTGTAGACATTTTTCTTAAATATCCCAGTTTTTAAAAGGATGCAGTTTATATCCAAATATGTTAGAAAAACGTACCTTGTCATACCAAAATGAACAACAAGAATTTCTAAATGATCAGGTAGTGAGCTGAGTTTCTATTAAAAAAAAACTTAAAACCTAAAGAAAAGCTAAAAAAAATCTTTATGGCCCTAAGATCGTAAAAAACTATCTTAAAAAAGCTCAGAAAAGGAAATCAGGTGCTTTCAAAGCTGAATTTTCAGAAGTGTGGGATGACTTAATAGTTTTTCACAGGTTACAAGTGTGTTCCTTCTGTACATCGTCTTTATGAAGCTGTATTCTGTTATTGATCGGAGTAAACAGGGTTATTGGAAGCTCCTTTCAGAATCTTCAATCAATTTCATCTCAAGCACACACTTGTGCTCTACTCACAAGGAAAAGACTTGACTAAGTAGAGGGAAATAATGTGCACATCCATGCCTCTTGTAAATGTGTGCGCTGGAGCAGAGAGAGAGAAGACTGCATGCACCATATGTGCAAGAAGAGAAGTGACAGAGAGAAATGAAGAAGACTCCTCTGGAGATGGAGACAGCAATAGAGCGGGCCAGGTTCCTCCAGCCCACCAGACACACAGACATGAACCACAAGAGGTATGGAGAAATGAGGAAATTGTGTTTTTTTGCAGAAGCAAGTGTGACATCAAAATTTTAAGACCATTGATTTTCAGCACAAGAAGATGAGAAAAACAGGAGATCAGAAAGAAGCAGATGCTTAAGGGCAGGTTTCCTCTAACCCCCCTCCCGTGATGAATCAGCTGTCACTCAGGCACTAGTCCAATCTACTGATAATGAGAAGTGCATCAACACCCTCTTGCCTCTCTTCTTTCTCTCTCTCTCGTTTTACTCGCACCATCTCCATCATCCTTCCTCCTTTCTTCAGACTGCACACACACACACACACACACAGTGGTGCGTGCAGTTACACAAAGTCATTCATCTCTCCCTCACTCATGTGTCTTATGATTCTCCTCCCCTGCTCCCCATCCCTCCCTCCTCTTCCTCCTCCTCATCCTCCTCCTCCTAGTAGATCTGAGCAGTCAGTGGTGGGACCGAGGCGAAGGAGGGAGGATAAAGGAGTGCAGAACAGAAGAGCAAAAAAACAGATCATTAGACGGCAAATGAGCAAGAGGCCGCTGAGTGAATAAGGAGGAAGGGATTACTAAGCGCAGGACTTAAAAAAAAGGAGAGGACATTGATCGAGGACTCTTCCTAGCTGCTCTCTCTCCTTTTTTACCCTTCCTGTCACCCTCCCAACTGCTCTCAGAGGCTCTGCCCTTCCAGGCGGTCCCCTCAGAGAAAGATGGCACACTTTGACCCATCCTCGGCTCATTTTCTTTTCTCACTTCTCTCTCTCTAAATACGTTTTTTTTTTATTCTCTGCTCTCTGCACGGGTTCATTCCAGGAGGTGAGGAGTAGGAGGAGGGAAGACAGAGGCTGACCTCTCTCTTGGTTCCTCCTCAGCACGACCTCCACCTACCCCGCCCCCCTCCCCCACCCCACTCCGCTCGTGCACACACACAGAGGGTCTGAAAGGAGCAGGCAGGGGAGCAGGAAGCCGTCTGATGACTTTCACCCACTGCACGCTCTTTAACCCGGTCAACTGAAGCTCCATTCCTCTGCTTCCTTTGACTCCGACACCAACTCTCACAGTCACCATGTTTGGACTAAAGTCACCACACTTCTACCTTCCAGGTAAGAGCATTTTATCCAGAATTTTCACTGAGTTAATTTACTTTTTGACTAGATCCTCTTTGCAGGATGTGATTTGGATCTTGGGTGCTATAAATAAAAAGAAAAAAAAAGACATGTCCAATACCTACTTTTAATAATTTTATAAGGAAGTTTGAAGCAAACATTTAACCGTAAATATTACATTCTTATTCTGTCATGTTGGTTTATGGTTCATGGAGAACCAGTAAGTTTAATGTTTTATTTTTTTAAAAACAACAAGAATCTGGAAGCAGGAAGTCAGTCGAACTCTCTGGTTGGTTTGAGGGGAGAAAGCAAACTGATCAGGAAGGAGTTGGTTGATGACAACTGATGACTGATTTAATTGATTACTTTAGGGATGAAGGGATGGATCTGTAGGGGATTGATTCAGCTGGGTTTGCAGACTGTAGACCAGAGGTCCAGGAGAATGTCAGTGAGATCTGAGAGCAGTGGTGCTTGCAAGAGACATCGTGCTGTAGAGTGGGCAGGCAGGTGATTAAGACAGAGGACTGCTGCATGCAGGTGAGACCTTTTCCATGAAGTTCGGAGGTGGACTGAGGTTCACTGGTTCTCTGGAACGATAAGAGAGTCCACATTAAAAGAGATTCACAAGAAAAATCTTCTGATGAAGAGAGATGATCCTTCGCCCATCTTACATACATCCTAGTCATCTTGACTGCATAATGTTCTCAGGTGTGCAGCAACACAGGTCGGCCCAGCCACCAGCAAAGATCCTATCTATAACAGGAAGCTCACTCACACGAGAAAAACAACATAACCACAGAGACTGTAACACTTTCAGGATGCACGTTAATTTATTTTTTTGTCTTACTCAGAATTAATATTTAACTGCTTTTGACAAGAAAAAAAAACATATTTCTGCTCAACTAATTAGGAATTATTTTGCTATGCAGGATCTTTTCCCATTTCTTCCTAATAAGAGTCGCATGTACTGAATTTGTTATTTTATCAAATGAATATTTTGATCATGTAGAAAACAAAGAAGTAAAGCATTAAATACCATTTTAGAGTTTTGCAATTCGTTTATTCATTTGTTCATTTTAAGATCTATATTTTTTCTTATTTATTTATTATCTGCTAATTAGTTGTATGTTATGACCTTCTTTTGCCTATTTATTATGAATGTATTGAGTGACTGATTTATTTGGCATCTATGCTTTGACCTCTGAGTTAATTGACATTTTTTCGGACTCATTTTTCGGACCAACTAGAAAGGATTTTAATTGAGCCTAATGTTTAAATGAGAAATAGAAGAAAGATTTTAATTGTCGGTGCTGTAGTGAGGTAACAGGCAGTCATTTGTGGTTAATAATTGTCTGTGAAACAGCTTTTGTGTTCATTGACTGGAGTCGTGTGAACTGTGAACAACTGTGTGATATGCAGGTGCGAGGCAGAGGAGGCAGGTGTGAGGTTACCTGAAAAAGTTGCTTAAACATGACTGAGAGTTGTGTGTGGGAATGAAGCCACAGGAAGGAGCAGGAGGAGGTCAGTGCAGAGGCAATAGTAAGAGAGAGAAATAAATATGTCCAGATGGGGAAGGAAAAAAGGTATTTGAAGGAAAGGAAAAGGAGGGGAAAACTGGAATTGAATGTGTTTATAACCATGATGTTGTCAAAAAAAAATATATATATATATATTTCTAAACCCCCATCACTGACCTCTGACCACCTACTTTTCTGGGTCAGACTGTGGTCAATGATTAAAAACCAGTTAGTGGTGAAAGGATCCTAGATGAGAGCAGGTAGTGTGGCTGATAGGGGCCATAAAGGGTGTGGGTCAGATTAAACAATGCTCTTTGCGTTGTAAATTTTTCATGCTGCTATTTGAATTATACATCTGCTTTCATAACTGATTGAATCTGTGTGATTATGTGTTGCTTTGTCACTGTTCCTGTATTGCTAAGGGTCTCTGTGTGCATGTGAACAAGATAGGAAGATGAAGAAGAAGAGAATCTCACCAGGGAGCAACACTCCCCTCTTTTCCTCCCTCCACTCTCGCTTTCATCCCCTTTTCTTCAGCTTCCCAGGTCTTATGTTGTGTGTGTATGTGTGTGTGTGTGTGCGTGTGTAGGGAACTTGTGCATGTGTGTAAATGGGTTTCTTGTCAAAGCTGGCCCCTTTGTGTGTGGCCGTGTGCACCTGTTTATGCCAGTGTGTATGTGTGTGTGTGTGTGTGTGTGTGTGTGTGTGTGTGTGTGAGAGAGCTCTCGTCGCTCACACATTTGAAGATGCCCCAGCCCCCCTCCTGGTCCTAACTGCCGTTGCTGTGGAGACTGTGTCAGCCACACGCTCACTCCTCAATGATCATTTGACAATGTGGAGGGTGAGGGGGAAAGGGTGTGTGTGACTGAGTGTGTGTGCAGTGATTACGCCGTGATTAGTCAAGGTGTAAGAAGCGCAGCTGAGTGAGACTGGATGGGGAAATAAATATTGAAAGGAACAATAAAAAAAAGCTAGTTATATGAGCTACATTTAGCCATTGTTACCCTGAGCACATCCTGACCTTAACATGAAGATATCACAAGGAAAGAAAGAGGGTGGCATTTTGTTATCCTCCACCCCCAGGTACCCCTGCAGATATGAAACAAACACACAGACATTACAGCAGTTTCCTTTTTATTTTCAAAGGCTGGTCACAGGATCCCCCAAAATACTTTAAAATACGCCTTTTCAGAAAGAAAAGTATGTCTATCTCTAATACTAGACACTAATAGTTAAAAAAAGACAACAACTTTACAATTCTATTTATGGAAGAACTAATATTTGCTTTAATGGCACTTTGACTAAAAGCAACATTCTTTCATTAAAGAGATATTACAAGGTAATAATCAGCATAATTCATTCTAGTTTAAAGTTAAAAAATCTGGCTATAATTTCTCTGATTGGAAGGTCATTTATCAGTCTTTAGTTTTTTATAGTAGGGGTTTGATCAATTAATGTTTTATACAGCTGGTGGAAGTGACTCAAAGGGAAAGGGTCTCTAAAACATATTAATACCCCTCAACATATTCCATATGGTGTTTTACTAAATTATTAGAATCAGAATTCCTTTTATTGTCATTGTGCAAAAAAGCACTCTGAGGGAAATGCAAATAAATAATAATAATAACAACAACAAATGCAAACCAAGCATGCATGCGGTGACAGTGGAGAGGAACAATCCCTTTTAACAGGAAGAAACCTCGAAAAACTCCATCATTTGTGGGGTGTTAGAGGAAACCTGCCCAGCTTCAATGTATTCAGCACAATTTTATTTTACATTTATTTTTATTCTAAATATTATTTTCTAAATTAGTTTTACAGCTAAAACATAAGAGAAATGTGTCTTAATTTGGCGATGGTGTTTTTATTGGGGGAAGTTATTTAGTTCCCCTGCACAATTTTCATTTTGCACATAGGCCAAAAAGTTTAATATAGGTTCACATCTACACGCTTTTTCAGAATGTCGATATTTGTTGAGCACACAGCTGATTGTTTTCCTGTCATCAGACTCTCCTACCCGAGCCATACATCTCCTCCAGAGTTACCCTGGGCCTCTTGGCGGCCTCTCTGATTAATTCTTTCCCAACCCATCAGACAAGGCAGACAGCCATGATCCTTGTCAGAAGTTTGGTACATTTTTTTCAGAAATCATGTCTGTCTAGTTTATAAACAGTTTAATTCTTTAAATTAAACGTTCCTAGTTTTAGAAAACCCATTGATCTGATATGTTACAAAATGCTATTGTGGGCTAAATGAAGATAAAAACATCCTAATACTATTAAGAAGACCTAGAATCGATAAAGGTAGAGCCAATAGCAACTTCATAAATCCAAATTATAATAGAATAACAACTTCTTGAATAATCTTTTTAGGACATAATGGTGATATTTTTATGGGATGAGTTGACAGTTCATCTTGGTTTAATGATGAATCCACTCTATGACATTTGTCTTTTAACCAGTTAATGTGTTTACTGAGGCCTGCACACCTTATCTTTTTGAGTCGATTGGGTGACATATTGAGATTGTTGACCCGTGTTTTTTGCATTGACTACTGTGGCAGCATAGCAGTGTTGGACTTGACCCCAGCATTGATTTCCATTATATATGCTCATTAATGCACACGCAGTAAATCATACATGGTCTGGATTCATCTACAGTTTAGGATTATACCTGTTAAGCTTCCCTTCTAACATATATAACTATATTTTCTATTTTTGTGTTTTCCTCTGTAATGTATAGTAATTGAAGACATTACACTACATTGGCTGCCATGCAGGCTTTCAGCAGATATTCATTCGAAAACTTTTGAGCTTTTAATGAATGGTGAGATTTTATGTGCTGCTGTTTTCAGAGCTTGTGGAGTGATATGAATATTCTGATTTTTTTTGTTGATTAAAATATGTAATAAATATTAAATGTATTCATTAAATATATAGTTTAGGCTAAAGTAGTCTTAAAAGACTAATGTTTTAACAGGATCAAAAAATATCAATAAATATCACCTCTGTTATGTATTTCACTGACACTGACTGACTTTCTGTGCTAAGACTTTGGCTGTGATTAATTTTAAACCCAACAAAGTAAAAAAAAAACAAAAAAAACAACAACAATAAAAATAAAACAAATTGTGGAGTGGCGGACTAGTGCTCCCTGGGCGCTGCACAGTGGCAGCCTACTGCTCCCCAAGGGGATGTTTTAACTGTAGAGAGTTAATTACTCCATTGTGAGATCAATAAAGTTCAATTTATTTATTTATTTTTTTATACATGAATTTATCCTATTGCTAATCACTGCTCCATTTCAAGGACAACTGACAATAAAAAAATTTTTTAAAAAATTTATACAAACTACTTTGGTAAAGGAAAAATATCAGTCAGAAGTA